GACTTTGCAAAACAATTTAGGACGGAGAGAGTATGTCCTTAAATTATTAATTATTAATAAAAGTAGTAAAAATGTGATCTCAACACAACTAATAATTACAATTTGATTTGGGAAATAGTTTCAAACAATGTCGTGATCAATATGTTAATATTCAGGAAATCTATGTGGCCTTTTTTGAAGTATTTTTTTCTACCCTTCAGTGAAATCCAAAGCAAAAATGAAAATGGGAACCAATCTTTTTTTAGCAAACTTCCTTCGACAATTGTATTATTTCCTTCCACCTTTCAAACCTTGGTTGTTTTTTGCAATGAATTATAAAAAGATTACAATAATCAATCTAATATAAAAAAAGTATAAAAGCTTTCAGCCACAAAGCTTAAAAAAATTGAATGAGTCTTTTTGAGAAAAAAAAGACTCATTATCGCTCCAAGTGAAATTATAGTTGGTGCTTTGGATGTTTTTACTTGGACTGTAATTTGCTGGTCTGGTCTGGTCTGATCTGGTCTGAACTGGTCTGGTCTGGTCTGGTAAGGTCTGGTTTCTTTGTATTTTATAATTATCCAAGTCTGGTCTGGTCTGAACTGGTCTGGTCTGGACTGGTCTGGTATGGTCTGGGACAAATTACAGTCCAAGTAAAAACATCCTTATTGTTCAAGTGAAACTACATGCAACGGGTCACATTTTCCAGTTGAGTGAGTATTTAAATGATTTTTTAGAAAACGATTGGTGTGGAATTAAGATTTGGTGTTGGCATTATGAAAAAAGTAACAAGATTATACTCACGAGTCACACCTTTTCAAGAAAAGTCCCTATTTTCAAAGTCTGCCACCACATTCACGTGAAAGAATAATTGAAAGTATAATTGAGGCCTCTTTGAAAGCTAAACTATAGTTCATTTCTAAAGAATATACGAGTATATTATTTGTTGCATGTAGGAATGTGAATATTAAAATTAACGATATCAATATAATTAATTTTTACATATTTCTTTACCATGTATTTGAATAAGACAATATTTCAGTTACCATGTACGAAGTATTAAGTATATGTGAATGTGAATAAAATTTTAGCAACAATAATATCATAAATCAATGGACAAAAATAACCATGAATATAATTTATAGGTACACTTTGCGGTGTCTAAAAAACCAAATTTTTGTCCACGACGAGCACGATAGAGCTTTGACATCCTTCTCTATTGCAGTTCAATTTAAAGAGCTTAAGTGTCGGGCATAAGAAGGTACACACAGAGACAACATGTGTGAGCAGTCATACTACCATTTTGTCTTTACTTGATTTAATTTATTCAAATAACAATTAACCAGACATGTTATATACGTACCAAATTCCAAAACTAATTCCAAGGAATCACATAAATAAGTGCTAATTTGAAGAAATTAATGGCATCAATTGATCAAAACACAACTTAAGCATGTGATTTTGTATTTACACGTGTTCTTATATTTTTCTTTAATCCATTCATACAAATTCATATTCTCTTTAAGGTTGCTCGATCCATCTTATCATCAAATACCGACTTTAAATTCGATATTTTCAGCATCGTTTAAAACGGAAAATTAGAAGTTTACGTGAATTTCATATATTCTTACTTGATCGGATATGATTGCTGGCGAGAAATATTAGTCGTATGCCCTCTTAATATGCCCTTCGAGTGTATGATCATGTAATTGAAGACGCTTTAGTTTAAATGAGGAGACGAAGAGGAAATTAGAGATAGAAGATGGATGTCTAGAATTGCTACCACTCAAATTAAGTTTTGTCAGAGGGCATGAAATCTAATAAATCAAAGGCTAGGCTATATACAGAGATAAAGTCAACATTGTACAATCCATGTTCTGCTTTACAATACACAGAGTAATAATGGAGATGATATTGTCTAAAATACATAGTACTTCGTACATAATAAGAACTTAAGAAGTCATAGTACTTCTTTCTATGTTGTACAAAATTAAAATAAGTGTTATACGTAGTATTTTTGGAAAAAAATTGCGGTCTACAAAATATAAATATATTATACTCAAATATCGATTATAGTTTTTACTTTTTCAACCACTTTATTATTAATTGTGTCAAACCAAAGTAAGACACACAAAACGGGATGTACATAATACTATTTTTTATAATTGAGTTAGATCATGTTTGGCGACCCTGATTTCAGTTTATCAAACTTAGCAACTATGTTTTTAATCAAATACATAACTTTTAATTCCACACGCTCAATCGTGTAATAATAATAAAAAATTAGATTGGAAGAATTATTTTTCTGGATGAATTGGTTGAAGTTACTGTGCATGATCATTTCAACTATTCTTCGTGTAATTCTTTTGTTTCATTACAAAAATACACATCAGGGCCGGTCCGGACATATAGAAGGCTCTGTGCAAAATTGAATATGAGGCCCTAAAGTATAAACCATTATACTAATACTTTCACTGTTAGAGATGACAATTGTGACCAATCAGATGGATACCCGCACCGAACCGCCCCGGTCAAAATGGGGAAAACCGCATTGACCGGGTAATGGGTACAGGGCGCGGAATACCCGTTTTGTTTTTACGGGTTACGGGGCGGTTACAGTTTTATGCATGCCCGCCCCATTACCCGCCCCGTACCCGCCCCGTTTATTTTTAGTTATATTTTTTTTTGCATTCTTATCTATTGTTTGTCCCACAACTAATAAAAGATGAGATTTTTAATGTTCATTGTGTATATATGGATAATAGATGTACTAACTATAGTGTAAGAATGGAAGTTCTCAATAGAACTTAATAGCCTTGTTTGATTATTACTTCGTATATGATTTTTCGTGATTAATTATTTTTCAGATTAAGTATTTTTAGGTTCAAATTAATTTAGGTTGTCTTCTTTCTCGTCTTATAGATATATGAAGCTTTAAATTGGCGTCTCAGTCTAGCATCGTCTAGGTGTTGCCATTTTTCGCCTTAATATTATTTTTTATTAAAATATCAATGACGCATTTAATAAAGTGATTACCCGCGGTTACCCGCGGTTATAACCGTTACCCGTTGGGGCGGTTATGGTTTGAGTAAAAATTACACGTTGGGTAATCGGGCGATTATGGGGTGGGGGAATTACCAAACGGGGCGGGTACGGTTATATGTAAAACCGTCCCCGATCCGCCCCGTTGCCATCCCTATTCATTGTTTCTAAATAATAGTGTCCTTAGGTTTTTTGTGGGTTTTAAGAAGAAAATAGTAGTTATGGTATAGAAGTGTAAGGTAAATGAAAAAGTAGAAAAGAGAATAAATTAAGAAAAGTAAAGTAATGACAAAGTATGAAAAAGAAAGTAGTTACAAGCTCGTTCCAAATTGTACGAGGGTTTTGTGCTATTTATTGTAACTAGGCCTTGTGAAATAAAGAAATTACACAATTGTAATTAACAATTGCATTTTAATTACATATAAATATACTATGTAATGTTTGTATTTAAAAAATTGCTAAGATATATAGGAATTTTTAATCAAATAAATAAAGATTTATTATATTATATACTCCCTCCGTCCCATTTTAAATGTACCGGAAGAGAGTGACACGAGTTTTAAGAAAAGTAGGTTTGTGTGGTTGATATTAATTGATAAAGTAAGAATAAAGTAAAAATGATTTTGAGCCACAAAAACTTTACCAAATAAGGTATGAGACAATTAAATAAGGACATCCCAATATGGTAAAACGGGAACGGAGAGAGTAGACTATATTTAAATTTTTGGGCCTTCTGAAATTGAGAGACACTATGCGGTTGCACTTCTTGCACGCCCTCATCTACGGCCCTCATACACGTTATGTACCAACATAATAAAACATAATTTCAAACAAGTTGTTATTCTATTCTAGATACACCACGTGCTTTGCACGGGTATTTCGTCTAGTGTATAGTTTACAACAACAACAAAATAGAGTATACTCCTTAGGGCATCCTCATTGGTAGGATTATTATGAGATTAAGTTGGTGACATGGCAGGTTTTTTAGAAAATTATCATTGAGTGACATAGATTATTTAATGAGATTATTTGCTACAATAATCCGGGATCAAAATATGAATCTAGATTAATTTAAGATTATTTGAAAAGTATATGTAATAGAGATTAATACAAGACAGAGGAAAAGTAGATTCTTTGAAGATGATGATTGAGAGACGTAAACGAATTTTGAGATTATTTTAAAATTAATTGCATAACAATATTTAAATGGTAAGAATCATAGAAAAAATTGATTATTAGAGATCATGAATGGAGACGCTCTTAGGGCATCCCCATTAGTAGGATTATGAAGAGATTAAGCAAGTGACATGTCAGTTTTTTTAAAGGAGCATCATTGAGAGACATAAATTATTTAATGAGATTATTTGCTATAATAATACGGGATCAAAATATGAATCCAGATTATTTTAAGATTATTTTAAAAAAATATGTAATAGAAGTTAATGCAGGAACAAAAAAATCGGATTATTTGAAGATGATGGTTGGGAGACATAAACGAATATTGAGATTATTTAAACATTAATTATATAACAATATTTAAAAGGTAAGAATCATAGAAAAAATTGATTATTAGTTTACTACGTATAGAGTACTCCCTCCGTATCACATATATCTTCCCACTTCCAAAGTGGGTGAGATTAAGAATAGTGAAATGGAGTATGAATTATTGAGGGTATGATGGGAAGATGGTGAAATAATGTGATGGAATGAAGGATAAATCCAAAAAAAGTAGGTGTAGTAGTGTATTTTTTTTTTTAAATTATTGAGGGTATGATGGGAAGATTTAAAAATGAGAAGATATAAATGTTACGTCCGAAAAAGGAAAGTGGGAAGATATGAATGTTACGGAGGGAGTAGTATTTTGGTTACAAGATTTAAAAGTTTCTTTTTATAGAATAAACCGCGCGTAATTACTGGAAGATTGACCGACTAAAACTTTCATTGAGCTTCCGGCTTACCCGTTACATAACTGAAAGTGAAAACCTGAAATTCTCGGGAGATAAAGGATAAAGATTTTCATAACGAAACTTCTATAGAGTAAAAGGCTGGAACTGGAATATGATTGAGTTGCAGAGAGGATTTCACCTGTTACTGCTGCAATACAAGGCGTTGTTCGTGAAGAACATACTGCTGTCGTGGCGGAACAAGCGCGCAACATTCATTCAGCTCTTCTCGTCCTTCTTCTTCATGTTCCTCATCTTCTGCATCCAGAAGGCCGTCCAGTCGCGCTTCTCATCTTCTACCTCTTTCCAGAACGTCTTCGATCCCGAGCCGCTCGTAACGCCGCCTATTCCACCCTGTGAGGACAAAAACTTAGTCAAGTTCCCCTGCTTTGACTTTGTATGGAGCGGCAATGGGAGCAGGAGAATTGGCCAAATTGTCAGAAGAATCATGGACAACAATCCAGGCCGCCCCATTCCTTCCAACAAGGTAATCCTATTGCCCTTCATGATTATCTTGTTAGATATCCAAATCCAAATACTTCAGTAAGAAAGATAGATTCATTTATTAGATCGAGCTAACTAATTGATTTAATTTAAGCTTTATGATTCAGCCGAGTGATCCTAACCCCATATTCACATCTATAAGTTTCAACCTTGGTTAAGAAATTGCAGTATATAGTTTTGGGGGCAGTAACCACAACAAACTATGAAAGTCCGAATCGTCTGAGTTTGTTGTCATTTGGCACATCCATTTGCTCAGGGAAAAAGTTGTTAAGTGTGGATTGGGCAGTATGGTTCAAGACTTCAGAGTGGTAAAGAGTAATTCTGTAAGGTCAAGATCAACACTTGAAGCTTGAAAGTCGATGCCTAAAACCATCTCATCAAATTAAATCGATTTTCACTGAGTGAATTGGCTGGGAGAGGATAATATTGGATGAATAATTTAATCGAATCTGCTTCTCTGACATATTAGTATATTACTTATACTATCTTTTAATGTTCTTTGTGATAAATGAAATTTAGCCACTTCTTTCTTTCATCTATAGCCCTTAAATTTTTAACTTTATGGCTAAGTCCAAACAAACTGCCACAAAATAAGGTTTGTTTGTTGAAGCACTTTAGACTTTTTCCGTTAAATATTTCCGTGGATCCCTAGACTAGTTTATTCAAAAGAGTAAGAGATGAGTAGATGATCCTGGAATGGCTTGTCATGCTTCTTTTTCAGTACTTCTGGAGTTCTGGCTAGAGACAATCAAGATGAGGCCATGCTACACAAACAATAATATCACAATAAACGTTAATAACTGTTAACCGTACCTATACCTTAATAAGTTGAAAGAGAGCTGCAGCAGTCTTGCTTTCTCGATGCATTTGTACTTTTGTAGCCGCTATAAGGCCTATACTGTGCATGAGTGTTTTGCTTACAGAACTGTAGATCATGTAATGGTTTATTATATAAAACTTCAGGCCATCTAGTTTCACCTAGATGCAATTACTATCATAACTTCTGTTGCAGGTTCAATCATTTAGAACTCGGGATGAAGTGGATGTATGGCTTTCCAATAATGCTATGCATTGCCCTGGAGCTCTTCATTTAAGTGAAAGAAGTTCCAGTGTAATTAGTTATGGTCTACAGACAAATTCCACTCCAGTGGCCAAACGAGGAATTTTTGAAGATCCCACATTTAAGTTCCAAATCCCACTTCAACTTGCAGCAGAGCGTGAAATTGCACGATCTCTTATTGGAGGTACAGAAGTGGTCAATAGATTTCATCCGATCTGATTGAGTTGTATTATAGTAGTAACTGATAATGATAATGATGTTTACTCTGATAACCTAATGGCACTTCTATGGCTATTATGTGTTAGATCCAAACTTCAGCTGGCTTATCACTTTCAGGGAATTTGCACATCCTGCGGTTGAAACTTTCTCTGCTGTTGGTGCAGCTGGACCAACATTTTTCCTGGCAATTGCCATGTTTTCTTTTGTCTTCCAAATCAGTGCTTTAGTCACAGAGAAGGAATTAAAACTCCGACAGGTCTTACCTACTCAGCTACTCTGTGTTTTCTTCTTATGAAAACTTACTCATGTGTTTTCCAGAATTATGCTCATATTTTTCTTGTCATATTTGATTTGCAGGCTATGGCCATGATGGGTCTTTATGACACCTCATATTGGTTATCATGGCTCACATGGGAGGGAATTATGACTCTTCTATCAACACTTCTAACACTGTTATTCGGGATGATGTTTCAGTTTGATTTTTTCTTGAACAACAGTTTTCCAGTTCTATTCACGCTGTTTTTTCTTTTCCAGTCCAATATGGTGCGCTTCACTTGGCAGTTCAGAAACTTCACATCATTAGATTTGCTTTATTCTCTGGAGTATTAGGACTACAAAGAGAACTAATACTGTATTTTAAATATTAATGCTAATATATGATACATGTTGGTTGCCAGATCGGTCTAGCATTCTTGTTGTCTGCTTTCATTACTAAATCATCTTCATCAACAACTGTGGGGTTTTCAACTTTCATTGTTGGTTCTTTGACTCAGGCAATAATCTCTCCTTTGTTGGCAATTAATTAGCAATTAATTGATTCATGATACCTCATTCCTCTTTTTTTTTCTTTTCCATTTTCCCCACTTTCAGGTTGTGACAGCATTTGGATTTCCATACAGTAACACATTCCCTGATATTTACAGGATCATTTGGTCTATTTTCCCACCAAATCTTCTCGCTCAAGGTCTTAAGCTGGTTGCTGATGCAACTGCAACTCCTGAAGATCCTGGTGTTAGCTGGAAAGGAAGAGCGAAGTGTGCTCCAAATGATAATGAATGTCTATTAACCATGGTAGGCAGACATTTTTGCCACTAACAATGCACTTAATTTTTACTGGGAGCTTGAACTGTTCCCAGGAGTTTGAGAGAGAAGCTCCACCTCGTCTCCAGCTTCTCCCTCAAACCCTTATGGTTATAGCAACAGCTCCTTAGCCAGGTCTTTCCCTGATCTTCTCCCGCCTCTGTTGCAGTCCGCTCCTCTTCTCCAAGACTCCTGGATCTCTTCTTCCAACCCTTCTCTGATTTGGAGTTGCTTTTTTGCTCTTTCCTAGTTTCTTTATTTTGTTCATGTTTGTCTTGCTTCCCCTGAGCTGCAGTGCTGTTAAAATAAGCACTACTGTGGTCAATCACACCTTGAGTGCCAAATCTCCCCTATGCACTTGCCATAACCACCACTGTGAGCTCTGATTCATTCCTGCAGTGGACCTGATGCCAACATTTGCACCACTGGAGGAACCACGTAGTCATTGCAGCAACTTCCTTGCATCCTTTTTTCCACAGCCCCACATGCAGATCTGGAGTTATAGTGTCCTCCACCAAAACCTACATGAAGATTTTACGCTTTGGTTTGGCATGAGTTGTCTGCTTTGTGTCTTCTACTAAATTACCCATGCTTGATGAAAAGACCCATGAGTGCTTTGTGTCTTCTACTAAATTACCCATGATTGATGAAAAGATCCACGAGTGCTTCTCATTTTGGAGCAGGAATTTGTAAACAGAGCTTATGGTGTTCACCGCCAACCTCAACATCCTCCCTCCATAGAATAGCTCTCAAACTGGATAGATTGTAAGGCTGTGGGTCCTCTTTTTCTTTTCCATTAACCATGCAATGAAGGAGTTGGTTTGCTTGTTTTGTGTTAGAGGTCGAATTGGTTAGTGTCCTATTTGTTTTGAGATCTTAATGTGTATGATTGTCCAAGATATGGTTGGTCAAATATGGATAGTGAATGCTCCACGTTGCAACTGTTCAGTGTGTGTGTGTGTGTCTTTCTCTCTCTTTTATTATGAATAAGATTGTTTACCTTTGAAGTACAGTTCATATGTTTTGCCCAGAGGAAAGGGGTGGGGATAGCTTGAGCCTTGAGGCAAAAAAAGCTGGATGCATGCCCATTTCTTATTTTCATTTAGCATGATTTTAAGAAGGTTACATATTCGATCTATACCCCCACATTATTTTCATTTTTTCAACAGAATGACATCTATATATGGCTTGTCTCAACATTCTTTCTGTGGTTGGTGCTGGCTATATACATGGACAATATAATTCCAAATTCATCTGGTGTTAGAAAGTCAATGCTCTACTTCTTGAATCCTGGATACTGGACAGGAAAAGGTGGAGACAATGTCTCAGGTAACTGACTATTGAACTTATGCTTCAAATTTATTTATCCGTGTCCTTGGAAATCTCAGCCAGACAAGTGCTTTGAAACCATATGCCTTTATTCAGAGGGGGGTGTCTGTAGCTGTACTGGTGCAATTCCTGCTTCAGAAAGTAGTGTTCCAGATGATGAGGATGTACTTGAAGAAGAAAACTTAGTTAAACAGCAAGCAAGACAAGGCCAAGTTGATTCTCCTGTTGCAGTTCAAATATGTGGTCTTGTGAAGATATATCCAGGTTCAAAGAAGATTAGCTGCTGTAATTGCAAAATGAACCCGCCTTATCATGCTCTTAAGGTATCATGAGGGGTTAAAACAACGTATCTAATTAGTCCATTATTAAATAGTTCTCTTTCTACTTGTTTTGCAAAGGTTATGGATTACAAAATGTCCAACACTTCTTAACATAATTAAGGCAATAATGGAGTAGACTATTGATTGTTTTTTTAACCAAGCAATTACTATCTAAATGGTGCAAAACAAACTTGTCACCATGCGCTATGCGAGTTCATATTGAACTTTTGAAGTTCTTTTCCAATATCGAATTTTATCTTGCATTGTTTACTGCATGTCTAATAATATATATGCAAATTACATACTGACCAACTTGAAATGGAATACGCTTTACTCCCTGTGGTGAGGTGGTCATATTTATCTGTGCGCTTATCTCAATAAATACTCCACAAACTTCCTAAATGGATAGATAAAAGGATTATCAAACCCCTAAAAAAGTGGATAGTTAAGTAATGAACAATTAAACTGGATCGGATGGTGTAATAGGCAACTTTTGATGCATTCGCTACTGTTTATACATTTCTTGCATGTCATTTCATATTTTGTGCATGCATTCTGGGAAATCCTAGGATCATGGTTAGAGCTCATGTACACAGGTGGTAAAATAATCCTTTAGCAAAACACCCACATGCACTATGCGAGTTCATATTGAACTTACGAAGTGCTTTTCCAATATAGAATTTTAACTTGCATTGTTTACTGTACGAATAATAATTTATATGCAAATAACATACTGACCAATTTGAAATGGAATACGCTTTACTCACGGTGGTCATATTTATCTGTGCGGAGTGCGCTTATCTCAATAGCACCTGAAAAAGTGGCAGAATTATTATTTTTAAATCAATTACAATCTATCCAATCTTACCAAATGTACTCTTATTTGTGAACTCACTACATGTTAACAATGTGTCATAAATTGTCTTTTCATGTTTTCAGATGTGCTTATTATTTAGTGTTGGCGGGTAAAACATGAAAAATAGAATAAATATTCCACAAACTCCCTAAAAGGACAGATAAAAGGATTATCAAACCCCTAAAAATGCGGATAGTTAAATAATGAACAATTAAACAGGACCAGATGGTGTAATAGGCAACATTTGATGCATTCACTACTCTTTATATATATCTTGCATGTCAATTCACATTTTGTGGATGCATTCTGGGAAATCCGAGGATCATGGTTAGAGCTCATGTGCACAGGTGGTAAAATGTACTTTAGTAAAACACCCGCATGCATAAAGCTCACGTTTTCATTCATTGTAGATTTTGGCAAATAAGAAACTATGAGATTTCATATTTATGTTCTCTTTCAGTTATGTACCTTGGTGTTTGAGTGGGTTTCATATTGGTTATATACTTGTATGCCAGGGCCTATGGGTAAACTTTGCCAAAGATCAGCTATTTTGTCTTCTAGGGCCCAATGGGGCTGGAAAAACTACTGCTATAAATTGTTTGACTGGCATAACACCAGTTACTGATGGAGATGGTAGTTGCTCTTCTTATGTCCATGTTTAGTATGTATGGATTGTTACTGAAAAATATGACCATGAACTTGTGTATCACAGCATTAATATATGGATGCTCAATCCGCAGCTCAACTGGCATGTCAAGTATTCGACAGATGACAGGTGTTTGTCCACAGGTAAGTCTTTTTTATTAGTGTTTCCTTGCGTTTTCAGTAATTAATTGACTCCTTAAAATGCGTTGACTGTCTTCCAATTTTCATAGTTTGATATTCTTTGGGATGAATTGTCGGGTCAAGAACATCTCCAGCTCTTTGCCTCCATCAAAGGTTTACCCCCTTCCTCTATAAAATCGGTGCGTAAGCGTTGTGAAAAACCTATACCTTAGGCTTATCATGTGCAACACCTTAATCCTCAAACGACCCAACTAGTTGGGGTTGGTGGGAAAAAGTAGTGGCTTACACTTCATTTACACCTTTCTCACAGAGGAATGATGGGATTCAGAACCATTATCATCATAGATTATTGCTACTTGGATGAAAAGTATCATGTGATGGCGATGGTTCAAGATAATTTTTATATTTATGGAACTTGAGTGGGAACCCCCTAGACTGGAACCTCTAAATTTGGAAGTATTTTATGATTTTTTGTTGTTGTAAATCACAGGTTGTACAGACTGCATTAACTGAGGTTAAACTGACTGAAGCTGCCAGCATGAGAGCTAGCAGTTACAGTGGAGGAATGAGGCGACGGCTCAGTCTTGCGATAGCTCTTATTGGCGAACCAAAATTGGTTATTTTAGATGAACCAGTGGGTATAAATGCATCTATTGTTAGTTGCTGAGACATATTCTGATGTGTGGGTGGGTGTGGACGTATTCACATTAGTACATTAGTCATTCATGACAGCTTCAATCTGGAAGGACTCAATCCACCGTTGGATGCTTTTGGATTGATTTTAATGTTTTGTGTAAGATTTTACTAATTATTGAATGGCTGGTTTTAAGTCTTTACAGACAAGATCTGAAAACTTATAAGAATATTCCCCACATACAAATTTGCGCACCCACACATATGAGTGTGGTTTCAACTGTTAGATTTAAGATCAAATGGTTAGGCACTTAGGTATATCTATACTAATTGTGTTCCTTACAATTGCAAAGACAACCGGCATGGATCCAATTACAAGACGACACGTCTGGGACATAATAGAGGATGCAAAAAAAGGGCGTGCCATCATCTTAACCACCCATTCTATGGAAGAAGCTGACATTTTAAGTGATCGCATAGGCATCATGGCAAAGGGGAGGCTTCGTTGCATTGGGACTTCAATAAGGTTGAAATCAAAGTTTGGAACTGGTTTTGTTGCTACAATCAGTTTTTCTGGAGGGACAGCTCCTGAAGAATCTGATACTTTTTCTACAGATAAACATCAAGCAGTGAAACAGTTCTTCAAAACGGTATGTAAAACAAAAACGGTATCTGGTTTATTCTGATTAAGTCTTAAAATATTTTGGATTGACTTTTAATATTTGTTTTTGCAGCATTTGGATGTGGTGCCTAAAGAGGAAAGCAAGTCTCTCCTGACCTTTGTTATTCCGCATGACAGGGAGAGCCTTTTGACTGTACAGCTTTAACTGTTTGATGTTGCATTTTTCCTGCTATTATCTCGTTGCATTTTTGTTTGATTTTATACTAGAAAATGTTGACAATCCCTTTTCCTTCCCCTATACCTTCTTTTCAGGACTTCTTTACTGAACTCAAAGATCAAGGATCAGACTTTGGAATATCAGATGTCCAACTAGGGCTCACAACCCTCGAAGAGGTTTTCTTAAACATTGCTAAACAGGCCGAAATGGAAAGTGCTGCAGCAGAGGGAAGTTTTGCTACTCTTACATTGAACTCGGGGTCGTCTCTTCAGGTAAAACTTTGACTGTAAACTTCTGCCTAAGGGCTTGTTCCAGGTAGAACAATATATTTGTTCCAAAAATCCCTCTTAGACCTATCTAATCCCCATGTAGTCTGTAGGCGCTATTTAAAACAATGGAATATAACAGGCATCAGTGTCCCGTGCTACAATGTGGTCAAAAGTCCATTAATGTTTCCCTATCAACCTTTCAGATACCAGTGGGAGCAAGATATATTGGGATTCCTGGGACAGAATCTGCCGATAATCCCAGAGGCATTATGGTAGAAGTGAACTGGGAACAAGATGATTCTGGTAGGCTATGCATCTCTGGCCACTCAGAGGAGAGGCCAATACCTCCTCATGTTGAACTGACAGCTTCTCCAACAACCACTTCTAGTAGGGCCTTGAGACGAGGGAGACAAATTCGGGGTATAGTACTTGATCCTGCACAAATTAACTGCACAAATGTGTGTTGATTGGTTGACTTTATCATGCTAATAATGTAATGGATACTAGGGCAACGGTTTGAGTAAAAAAGATTGTAAGAGCAACTCTATTAAGATCGAGATGTTATTAAGATCGAGATTGATATAAGGTGAATAAAGTTAGTAATAATCTTACTATGGATAATAGGCCTTATTGCATCCTCTCCCAGGCCTTATTTCAGCAATGTGATAGTGCAATAGTTACCCACAATGCCCGCCTCTTGAGTATACATTTTGAATGAATTGATTTATTAATATAATAAAAATAATACTTATTTTGAAATATTTTCAAATTGGGAAAATGTAAATGATATTTTTGAACTCATAAATTATCGGTGTTATTATTATAATGAGCATAATTTGAAAATGAATATCTTTAAAATTAGTACAAAAATATGTATTTTGTTTAATAAAAAAATAAGGAATAAGAAATACTAACAACACATACATACTGAAAAAATATTAACTTTAAATATTTCATGAGATTTTTTTTTAAAAATCAACAAAGAAAAAAGATTAAATAAAATAGATATACTAAATTAAACAATATTAATAAAGAATTGGTTATTACCATTTTAATTGAAATTTTTCTCATTCCTAGCAAGTAGCTTGTTTTGGCTAATTTGCTTGCCCAAGCTAGAAGGAAAGATGTACTCCAATGATAGGCTAGCCCTCAAACAAATCTGATCCTATAATGGGCAAATCTGAGCCGACGGTGATCGAAACAAACTCCTCATCTCCCATCCTAGTTCTCAAGGAAAAGGGAAAAAATAGCAGACAAATCGGAGTCTAAAATAAAATAGACAACAAGATAATGAGAAACTAAAATAAAAATGTCCTTCACGGGACGTTTGGCAGCCATAACTACTTTGTGCTAGAGAAAAGTGCCTCATATATCAAGGTGGGCCTGGTACTCCGGGTCCACCTCTTTCCCGTTTTATGGATAATCAAGTGTCATATCTTCACCTACATGCATGATCCTCTTCCGCTTGTTCCTCCCAAGTCCTGCCCCCACTAACATCAAGCCCCACTATTCTGCCCCTGAATTTCCTGCTTTGAGCACCTTGTATCCCCCATCCCTCATGCTTGTCCTATCTTTAACAAGTAACTTCTTACCTCTTTCGGCGAGATTTCCCCACTCACTACAAAAAATCCGCATTGTAGTCACGGACTTAGTCACAGATCGTAGTGTAAAAAATCCGTGACTAACTCCTTTAGTCACGGACTTTGTCACGGCCAAAATCCGAGATTTCTCAGGCGTGACTAACTTTAGTCACGGACAATGGTCCGTGACTACATTTAGTCACGGACTAGTCACGGCCCATTTCCGTGACTACAGTGTCACCGGAGTACTTTTCCGACCAGGCAAATTAAATTTAGTCACGGATGTTGTCCATGACTACAAATTCAAAATTCAAAATTTTCAAAATAGTCACGGTCATAATCCGTCACTAATATTTCAAAAATCAAAATTCCAAATTCAAATTTTTAAATTTTCAGACTTCGAATTCAAAATTTTCAAATTAGTCACGGTCAGAATCCGTGACTAGTTATTTTAATTTAAAAAAAAAATAATTTGTTTCGAGAAAGAATTCCGGACTAGTTTAGTCACGGAATTAGTCCGTGACTATTTTTTTTAATTTAAAAAAAAATTAATTAAATTTTTTATAACTATTAATTTAACTATTTTAAAATAGTATTAAAACAATATTTGAAAAGAATTTTTACAATTTATTTTTAAAAAATTGTAATATGTTTTTTAATTATTTTGAAAAGCGGAATTAAATATTACATAAATTCACTCATACACATTAATAGAAAATTGAAAAATCCATGCATAAACAATTTAATAGAAAAGAAATTCATTCATACACATTTAAATCAAAAAATATATTATTACACTCATTCATAATAATGAAAATCACTGGGCTCTTGGGGCTGCTCGGGCTCTTCGGGCTCTTCGGGCCGGGTGCCTCCTCGGGTGCCTCTACGGCTGGCTCCTCCGCGGCTGGCTCCTCTGCGGCTGGATCCTCCGCAGCTGGTTACGGGTGTCTGAAACATGTTGTTCCAAGACTGATCATGAAAGGATCTGTAGGAGGGCATGTTAAACCCGGAGTTGGAATGGAAGTTGCCCATTTGCGGAATTTGAGGAGTCATTTCAGGATGTCTCACATACGGCGGAGGCTGATAGGCGGCGTTGAACATATTCATTTGCCGTTCCATCATCTCAAGCCGGACTCTTGTTTCTTCATCCTTCTGGCGTTGCTCCTCTAATTGTCGCTGCAATTCGGCAATCCGAGGATCCTCACCACGCCGCGAACGAGAAGAGGAAGCGCCGTCGCGGTTGAGCAAAATCTGTTGGCCTTCGGCACCCAAGCACGGAACCCGATCCTTGTAAACCCCAGCTGCCTCCAGGATCGCCTCATCATCCTCATCAGAAGCAAGGTCATCCTCTTCCATCAAGCCAAGCTCGGCACGCTTATTCTCAACGGTTGAGTGATACTTCGTCTTCTTGTACAAGATTAATTCAAGTTAGGAACTCTTTATTTAGAAGATTAAAGAGCACAAGTGTATTTCTTACTTCGATTTCAGCGATGCGAGGTGGAAGGTCGGCTTCCGAATCGTCCCCGCCCTTCGTCCAACAGTGCTTTAACACCTTCAGATACGAGACCCTCTTTTTCTCAGGTCCCGCCTACATGGTTCGAAACGATTTAAAATCCAAAACTAATTGTAAACATGATGGATTGTTTATATTTATTTTTTGAATTAGAACTTACAAGAGTTTTTTTATGCTGAGGAAGAGGTTTGCGGCCCCCATGCCATTGGGTCTCCAAAGCCTTTTCAGACATCCGGTTTTTCTTACCGGCTGCGCTTCGTTGCGCAAACTTCGGATCCATGGACCAATGGTTAACAAGGTTGGCCCACACATCATCGGCAATCCATGTCGGGCTTCTTCATGTCTTTTCGGTAGCGTTTAAAAGAACTTACCATCCAAGACGAAACTCTTGCATTATACGCTTTAAGGATGGCGGGACCATCCGCTTCAAGCCATCGGTGTTGGGCCTTTATTTAAAAAAAATAAAATTAGTTTATTATTTATCAAATTTTAAGTTACTACATTTAAATCGAGAAAATTCATTTATTTTTACCTTAAACAAGTTCCACCAAAATTCGCGGACCTCGGCGTCTACTTCCGTGTAGGAAATCCAAGTACCCCTAAAATGTCCTTTGATGATGGCCTTGATCCGATTTAGGACATCTTGATCACTTTAAAAAATTTGTTATTTTTTAATAGATTTTGATTAAATTATTTGACATTATACAAAATTATTTGACATTAGAAAAAGTTCATAATTACTTACAAAGCAATTTGCTCAGGTGTCACCCAATGAGCGGTCTCATTATTGCGCTCCGTTGCTGTCTGTTCGGGCGAGCACGAGATGTCGATTGTTCATTACTCATCTAAAATTTATTAATTCATATCTTTAAATGTTAGTGTGATTATTATAATAGAACAATGTTTTAAAAAGTTTTATTAATTAAAAATTGTTATGACATATTAAACTATGTTCAAGTTTAATATGGGGGTGGTAGTTTTTTGAATTTGACTAATGTAACATTGAAATAATACATTTTGGGAGGTAACATGTTAAACTTTTTGGCAAGTTTACATGAGGGGAAATATTTTATTTTTATATTATAGGTATTTTGTAGGTATTTTATTTTGGTAAACTTTTTATACATTTTTATATTTTTTATAACTTCTTTCACTTCATTATATGTAAAAACGGTTTTTATAAACAGTTTATAAAAACGGTCTTTTCGGTATACATATTTTTGTTTTATAACAGTTTTTATAAAACTGTTTTTATAAAACAGTTTTTTAAATGAATTTTCAAAAACAGTTTCACAAAAAAACAGTTCTTAAAAACCAGTTTTTAAAAAAGAGTTTTTTATAAACAGTTTTAAAAAATCAGTTTTATAAAAACAGCCATTTTGTAAATAACATTTTTAATAAACAGATTTTCATAAAAAAAGTTTGTTGGGATAATGGCCCAGGCCGAGGCCCGGCCCATTAACCCCCTTTTTTCTATCGGACGCACGTCATGACTAGGATCAGGCTGGGCGCAGGCCCACGACCCTTGGGAAGAGACGAACATCGGGAATGGGGGGGTCCAGGTTCAACGGCCCATCGCGACGGACGTCTGTGCAGAGGTAAGGGGCAGGACCACTGGCCATCTGGGGTACGACGAACGTCTCCGGAGAAGGCCCATGATCGTCGGAAGAGATCCAGTCCACATGAGAGAATCCACAAGGTCAGGGGACGAACAGCCGAAGTCCCTTGAGGGTCACTTGGAATGACCCAGCTCACCCCCTGGCGGACGAACGTCCCCATTATTTAGGCGGGAAGCCTAGATTCTGGCGGGAAGTGCATTTAATGCAGAAGATTTGGTGGTTGGGACACAAGCGGTCCGCAGGCCTCCACGTCAGCATAGCCACCTGCCCATTGGCGGGTATAAATAGAAGCATTTATTTCATTGTAAGGGGTTGGCAACTTTCTATTCTTAGCACTAGCTATAGCATCCTTACTCGCAGCACTTCTACTGCCTTGTAAGACGAACGGCCGACGGAGCCCTTAGCAAGAAGTATTGTATTAGGGAGTTATTAAGAGATAATAATACCTAATCATTTACTTGCTACTTCTTGTTCTCTATAGTTCATATCATCTGCTTGTTGGGTTAGATATCATACACTCACTCCACTCGAAATCTTTGGGCTTACGTGTTGGGTCCAAGGGTTGAAGGAATAAACCTCAACACTGGCGCCGTCTGTGGGAAACTGAACTAAAAGTTTCCAAAAAACTCTCCCAAACAGCTACTAAATCTACCCAAAGCAAGCACGATGACAAGAAACAACCGCCAGCGCGATCTCTCCGAGCAGTTGTCCCGCGGGCGAAGCAACCGCGGGCAAACCACGGAACGCTCCGAGACGTTGGGGACGACTGGGGGTGAGGGTGGCCTCACAAACCTCATCCCCCATGAAGCCAGGCATGACCCTCGACTCATGAGGGAACTGGCGGAGACAATGCGCCGAATGGCGGATGAACAGGAGGCGAACGAAGAGGTGCATTCAGCCAACACCATCTGGACTCCCATATCGCCTGTCCGCCGCATGCAGACCCTGGATGAG